TTAGTTAGTAAGTAAAGTAAAGTTAAATAAATAAATAATATTATTACGTTTATTTACTTTACTTCGTTCTTCGTAGTACGTACTCTCTCTCTCTCTCTCTCTCTCTCTCTCTCTCTCTCTCTCTCTCTCTAGCCCCCCTGGACCTCTTTTTGGGCATTTAGCTTATTTAGCTGGCCGTATTTGAATTAGTATTTTGCCTAAAGGCCTGCACATTTGTTTTTTTCTACTACTGATAATTGTATTTCTGGTCTGTGCTTGTGACTAAATGTGTAGTAGAATCCATTACTTTACAAAGGATCATAACTTTTAGCAAAATGATATGGAGGAAGAATTATCATAAACAATATTTCTTCTTCTTTCTTTCTTTTTCCCGATCGTATAATGTGATGTTGTTCATCTTCCAGTTACAATTTGTTGCAAGTTGATTTAAAAGGAGAAAACTTTGATGGGTTTTTCTTTTAGTACACTCTACTTTTTGCCAAATGCCGTTCACTATGAGGAGACACTGGCTACTTATGAGCCCGATATGCTCTGTAGTTTACTGCTGTTTGTTGGTACTCTAAGGGAGGACCTCTTTCAGGTAGGCTTGATTATGTATTTCCTTACATTGATATCCATGGGGAGATTTTAATGTCTCCTTCTCATGGGCATTTGCGATGCTAATATTTGTTTTGTCGAAAAAAGTAATCTGTTCACTTAAATATATGACTTTATGTGATGGCCGACTGATGCAATCAAAATATGATATTCGAGCTTCAACAGTGCTTTCGCCAACCTCTACCTCCACTTGTCCCAATAAGAGGATATGGTTTGATTTGGTAATCTTAGCATGTAGCAGATGCAGGGATTGAGTACGCAAATATGTACATATGGGCATATTTGGTAATCTTAGTACGTGGTAGATGCAGGTGACTGAGTACACAAATATGTCCATATGTCTCATACATGAACATTATTATACTGAGATCATGTACCCACATTGAAATTATTGGTGTTCCAATTGGTAGATGTAAGTTTATGTCATGATTGTGCACACCAGCCTTTTCCTAGTTGTGGCAAATAATGGATTCTTAGCACTCTAGAGTCTAAACAATACCATTGGTGGGTAGCACATCTTGGGCCAAGACAAACACCTCGAGTACAAAAGCAAGGTTTTCTTGATCCTAGCTCATTATGATGGCCCGCTTCTTTGAAACAGAAGCAACCTAGAATGCCCAATAGTGTTCCATTATAATGCAATGAGTCATTTATGCATCGGGTCTTTGTCTTTTTCAATAACAAGAGGGAGTTCAAAAACATGGTTGCCTTAGGCCCTAGAGTACCAGATGAAGGTTTTACCCACTGATCCCATGTTGCAACTGGGTTCTCATTCATTGTGCACCAAGAGACAGTAATGATGTGATCATTATCGATCATGTTATGGATCTCTTTGGGGGAGTTGACACTTATTGTTTAGTAAGTGGAAAACTCATCCGATTCACAATGGAAGTCATCCATGATTTGCACTTCACCAAGAGGATAGCCATCTCCTGCACCCATGCTATGCAGCCATTCTCATTGGCCCTTAACTGGGGATTTACAGTCAAGTTCAATGACTATTTTTCCCTCTTAAAACCTAATGAGAAGAAGACTAATATAAATTCATTAGCATTATGTATTTACAACAAGTAATAAGCAGGGAAGTATCTTCTTCCGGAGTTTCAGCACACCATATGACCCTATCTTTGAAACCATCTTGTTGCTGATGAAGATGCAGACCTAATGCATAAACGAGTGATTATTGAAGCATGGAACTTTGTTTAGGATTCTCGATTGCTCAGGACCATCATGGTGAGACTGGAGAGTCAGTGATTCCCATATCCTCACATGGGGCTAGAAGAGGTAGAGTTTAGTGAAGAAGAACGAGGTTGGAGTGAGAACCTTGGATTTTGATTGCACTAAGCCGATCATCTCATATGTACTAGATTAGCATATTCTCACTTCCTTCGAATCGCTCCCCCCCCCCCCCCCCCCTTTCTTCCATCCACCATCTCCCATTACAACTACCGCTACATATACTTATAGACGAGAATCTAGTTGCAGCAAGGGATAACTGAAGCAAAACCCTCATCTGGAGTTTCAGGGCCTAAAGCAACCATGTCTTTTAGTTCCCTCCTTTTTCTGTTACAAACTTACTGGCAAACTCCTGCTGCATAAACGAGTCAATGCATTAGCATGGAACTTTGTTAATAATGGTAGATTACTCTTTCAAAGATGGCGACCATCATGGTGAGATAGGTTTAAGAGAACCTTGCATCTGTGCCTAAGATGCTTGTCCCTGCCCAAGATGTGTTACCTAACAATGACACTGTTAGGAGTCCCGAGAGTCTGGATATAGTTGCCAATGTTAGGAGTCAAGGTATCTATTCCCTGGGACAAAGGCTGCTCAAGAACAGGCCAGTACACGTAGTCGCATGGCATCATCATTCCCTTACATCTGCGAATTGAAACCCCGCTGATTTTAACTATTTGGATACTGGATCTCAGTAAGGTAAGATTCGTATGTGAGACGTTCAAGCAAAGGGTGATGGTGTTGTAATCAAAGTAAGAGAATATGGACATATTTGCATCCTCAGTCACTTGCATGTGCTACTCGTCAGGAGTGCCAATTTGCTTGGCCTTTTGCAATGATGACCATAACCTCGTAATGGACCAATAGAGGGATAGGCCTGTGAAGAAGCTAAGCACAAGGTTCCCGCAAGACCCTTGATTATGCTTTCATTGAGCCAAGCATTGCATATATATTTACATAGTAATACTTACTTTATAGAGGAAAGTGATTTGTTCATGCAAAAAAGTGATCTACTCGACTGCCTAAATTCCCTTCGAAGGGAAATCACTAAATGTTACTTTGTGGGTGGGGTTTGGAACCTCACCTACATCCTAAATAAGTTGTAAACAAACTTGTGTCCTCCAAATTAGATTGCGGTGGTAGGAAATCATGCTGATGCTTTTAACAATCTAAGGGATGCCTTTTGGCAACTCCACTAACTGAACATGTCTGTCAAATTAGTTCCTGGGCTTGCAAGACTGTATTTGTTATTAATCACAACGATATGACTTATGCTTAAGGTCTGTTTTGACCTGTTGAGTGTCCAAGGGTCCCATAACTTTGTTTTTCATCTTCTATAAAAATACGCAAGAAAAAAAAATTGCATCATGCGTTGCACTTTGAAGTATTTTTTTAGTTATTAGTTTCAAGTTTGTACTCCTAACAGTCTGGTTTCTCTTCAGGGTCCTTGTGGATGTATATCGTGCTGGCAATCGCCATGCCTTCAATGTAGGTACGATTTACTGTCGGATGTTTGTCCTTTGCTGAATGCTCGGCTTATCAATGCTTTAATATACAAAATTTTTTAACAGGGTTGTGTCCTGTGAAAGCTTACAACTTTTCAAAAACTTTTGTAAGTAATTCATGACAAGTTCTTGGAAAAGCATTGTCATATAAGTGCATGCACTCTACATTTTTCTGTTAGTACTTGGAGGATGGAGTGTTTAGCATATGGTTAACCACAATCATGCTGAGTTTTTGTTTTGATTGTTAAAAGCTTTCCAAAAACTAGGACTGGATTGTGCAGATTGGACAGATCCCATTTATCTAGACCTTGCAAGGTGAGAACTGATTCTTTATTTCCATTATAATTTATGGAAAGTATTGTAAAGAAACTTGTAGGGAGCTTTATATGCATCTCCCTACATGGTTTGAGTTCGTGGGTTTCTCTTAATATGGGTTACATCTTTGAATTTAGTTTTAGGGTATGTGAAGGTTTCTGTTCATATTATGACCATGTCGCAGGAAAGCAGTTGGTGATGAGGAAAGGATGCTAGTTATATTTTTTGACAGGGTAAATTAACATCATCTCTTTTGCATTAGGGTTCATAATTATGTAGGAAAAAATTTCGTGATATCTTATTGTGTAATGTCAAGTAATGTTCAATGCATAATTTGCAAAGTATTTTAGTGACTTGAAAGCTTGACGGGAATCAGATCTGTTTGTTATTGTTCTCTGTTTGACGAGAACTTATACTAGTCGAATTATTCTAACTTTTTTTATGTATACTGATTCTGATAAGTTCCAGCGTTAAATGCTTCAGAGGTGGAGAGACAGGTAGATGTCTGGAAAATATCGGTCTTTTCTGGAGTTTTTATTTTCTTTTTTATTAAGTCTTGTTAAATTTGTACTATTATTATAATAAGTAATATGGTTGTAAGAAATAGAACGCATTGTAACAGAAGTAATCGCTCCTATTTAACTCATATCCATGTAAGTTCCCAGCAAATTTTTTCATCACCATTTGCAAATTCAGCATACCTTGTTATATTTTGTATGCATTGCATTTGAGGAGATGCAGACTTACCAAGTGGAAATTAGTGTAGAAGTCCAAATCATGAAGATAAACTGGCATTCACAAACAATAATTGCTGCAAAGATATAAGGGAACAGACTTAAAATGTATGCTATAGCATGCATTGACCTAAGTATGCACAGAGAAGCATAAAGAGCAAGTTCGTTCTCACTTCCAAGAGAATGAAGATGAGGACGCCGCAATAATGAGAGAGGTTTCCTACATATGAAGGAATATTGATTGATTCAAAGATGATCGACTGATACAATCATATGCATATGAGCCCCCTTGCTCCCTGTTAATTTCTATTTCAGTTACTAGGACCTGTTAGTCCTATTTATGGTTTGCATGGCAGTATTGCCATTTTCTTATTTCATTGTTATAAAAAAGAAGATTTGAGATGTGTGAGGATAATTGACTCTCAAGTCACTCTCTCTTCATCTCTCCCTTTTCTTTTCATCTTTCCCTCTCTCCCTCTCTCTTCTTTGACATGGTACCACCCATTAATATCACCTGCAGATGGCAGTTGCAGGCTTATAAGAATTGCATGGCAAAAAAGGAAATAAGATGGAAATCACATAGATACTGGAAATCACATAGATACAAATATGTTGTGCTTGACACTCTTAGTAGTTATCTGCCTCTCCATGCCCCAAAGTTGTACAGCTTGAAGTCTTCATTTGGTTCTTTTGGGTCTTCGCATTCTTCAAGCAAGCCATGGACCGTGGCCCTTCAAAATAACATGCTCGTGACGTTAAAGAAAAAAATAATTTAGAGGGCAAACAGATTTGGGCTTCTGGGGTGCTGACTTGGTTAGCATGACCTTAGATTCTTTATCTTTCTTTTCTTTCTTTCTTTCTTTTTTTTGGTTGGGTCAGGGATCAATTGTTCAATGAAGTCACATTGGGCTTGCTGTGAATATTATATCATATATCATGCTCAGATTCTCCTAATTCATCACTAAATTACTTATCTTTATCTTATATTTCGGCAGATTGGTTGGCCGACATCACTACCCACTAATGAGAAAGAACAATTCTTGAAGAGTGTTCTGCAGGAAAAGGTATTTTCACAGATGTAAGTGGAGAGAGAGGGACCCAGGGATCATGTTGTATTGGCCGGCTCCCATTCTCTCTGCACTGTACATCATCTCAAATGGACAGTGGACCCAATGTATTATGGTTTTCCCATGGTCCATTGGATTATGCTATCGTTTCCCTATTTAAAATACCATGGTTAACAAACTGTTCAACTGTTTTTGAGTGGGCAGCGCAAGGCTTTGGACGAGTATGTTATGACCAGGAGTATCCCTTTACGTCCTGGAGCTGAGAAGTGAGCGTTCTTATCACTCAATTTTGACTTTTAGTTGAATCATTAACTTCTAATTTGTCTTGTATTTTTACTTTCTCCATCTATTAACGTATAGGATAAAGTATTCTGTTGTAAATTTACAATTTAGGAGGTCTTCCTGTTGGAAATTTCTTATCACAGTTCTAAGTTTCTTGCTCAAAGGTGAGAATTACTTACCTAGAAAAGTCATACATTCCACTGGGCCACATAGATTCTTATATATTTTTGGAAATCTTATTATGGAAGCTTAGTAACATGGTGTGTGGTATACCTAACATAGTTCTAGCTATTTACGGGCCATTGAATGGGGAACATAGGATGATCATATCCTTTAAAATATGATATATTCAACAAACATATCGAGGGATTATCCTATAATTTCCACTAGCTAGTAGAGTGTTCTTTGTGTGTTGACGTTTCATTAGCTAAGGTGATTAGTATGACTAAGTAAACTTTCTTGTGGTTTACTATTGGTTTTCGGATATATTGATATTCATTGATGAGGATAGCCTGCATCGCACATTTTCTGTTCAATGTAGTTGCTTTCTCACTATCTATTGCTTATTTATATTGTGTGTTTGTATAGTTTCATTGATGACGCCCTAAAGGAGGATATTCCAGTGGTCATACTCACAGCATACAGCAAAAATGGGGATAAGATGGCCAGGTCTATTTACTTCCATAGATTTTCATTCTCATGCACTGAGGTGTGTTTGAAGAAATAAGTTTCTTCACAATTATTATCAATCATGGTCTTCTTTTAAATATGTCACGCATCCAACCAAACAAAATCTAGACATTGGCAAATGTTACAGTAGTTTTAGCCACTAGCATTGTATTATGCCAAAACAAAAGCCTCGTTTGAAAAGATTTTCTCATGTGCCAGTATATCACCATGGATTGGGGACTTTAATATCTTGCCTTTGTAGCTATATTTTCATTACCATATGTTCAATGATATGTTCATTTTGCTGGGAACGCCGAAATTTTATGTGAATTGGAGAAAGAGTGACGAGAGATGACATGTATGAACCTGCATTTATTCTTATAATTAGAAACAAAGTTGCTCTTAATATTTAGGTCTGTCATTGATAAGCTGGGCCTTGAAAGACTTTCAAAGATAAAGATAGTTGGGAATGAAGGGGTAGAAAAGAGCTTCTATGGTCAATTTGTATTTGGCAAAGGAGTATCAGCTAGCTTGGATGAGCAACTAGCCAAAGAGGCTAGAAAAGCAGGTACATCATCTCACCATGCTTAAATATTACCAAATTATTCCATTCAAGGGTATTGAAATTCTTTTTATGAATGCAATCTTTATTTATATAGAAAAGAGAAATGTTCTGATATTCTCCTTAAGGAAAACTCATTAGGTTGCTTATTCTTGAAACAGCATCTGCTGAGAAGCAAAGGATTGCTGAGGAGGTCTCCTCAAAGCTGAAACTGAGTGTGGAGATCGATACCACTTCATCTGAAATGTCTGATCAAATCTTCTTCATGTTTTGGCGATCTCTATGATTTTTCCAATTAATATTTTTTCGTATTTGAAATACTATTGTAATTTAATGATCTACGTGATTTTGCCGATAATTTATCTTTATGTAGTCTAGAGAAGGTTGTGGCTACATTGCGAGCTGGTGCAGAATATGCTGGCTTGCCTGTACCCAATTGCATACTCATAGCAGGAAGCCAATCTGGAGCACTTGCAGCTGAAAGGATAGGCATGCCTTGTTTGGTTCTTCGAAGCAGGTGGGTTATGTCTCTTTGACAGCATTATTCATAGTGGATGTTGGTAAGACGTATTATTTTACTGATCATTGAACCCTACAAGAACTTGAAATGGATATGCAAGAATTGTACTTAGATAAGGGGCCTTTTAGAATCCACATGCAGTAGCCATTAGCAATGACATAAAAGAGAACTTACGTGAAAAACAGATGCATTATTCTTTTGAATGACAAAATTTATGTTAAGTGAAATTATATACATCAAATCTCACATCCAGACTAGATGTCTTCTATTTTACAAGAAAGTTGTGCTTCACTGTGGTAAAGGAACATGTCAACCAATGTATGTGATATGAAAGTACAATATGATCTTGTACTATTATGCCCTACAAAATCAGTTGATTTTATGGCTGAATTCAAATGCCGACTTTCTCTAGGGAAAATGTGCTATGTTCTGTTGGACTGGGTGTACTCTGTTGGGGTCATCATCATCCAATGAAATGATGAATGGTGATGGAGTGCCCACTGGAGTACAAGAGACCCCAAATGGTGGATCCCATCTTCTTTCCATGACTTTCCATTATTGAATTGGATGGTGATAAATCCAGCGGACTATGCATTTCCATGGTCTACTGGAAATCTACATTCCAATTCTATAATTTCTGCTAACTTTTAGATATTTTTCTTTTCCATATTATGATTATTTTCAGATACGGCAGATTTGGAAACCATGGTACTTTGATTTTGCTACATCAAAATTTTCAGTTTCTTAATCCTTTCATGATTTTGCATTTGCAAGAAATGTTGTTAATCCCTTATCTTCCACTGGCAGCATTGTTTTGACATTTCATGATTAGCCTACTGTTCATACTTTAGCGTATATGTTGAGCATCCAAGATTGCAGTAAACTGGAAGCTAATGGCAAATGAAGTTAGAGGATTTTCTCTGACAAAATCAAAATTTTAGTTTTTCAAGAATAAGAAATTAATCTAAATGACGAGAAAATTGAACTCTTTGAACACTCCAAAAATCTGTGAACATTAAAACGGGTTGATTCTACTGAAACCATTCATCATTCTATGATTTGAGATTGAACATGATTGAGGCTTTGAGATCAAGTTAGATTGGATAAACTGAAGGAGAAAAGTGAATGTATAATGTATTGACAGCAATGGCTCTATTATACAAGTAGTGCGGATAGGATGCGCAAACTGCCCTTACAAATATGTTTTCTAAATGAACCATGACAAAACCGAACCTCTTTGAAAGAATCCAAAAATCGATGAAGAAGAAAACCATTTGATATTGCAGTAAAAATTTTGCTTGGAATCGAAGCCAAGGACATCGCACTCACTAGGATATCTAAGACTAAAAGTGCTTTATATTCTTAACTTCCAGCTTTTTCTTCAGTTTCTTAAAATGCTAAGTGTATATCTTTTGCAGCTTCACGGCTCGAGCAGAGTTCCGTTCGGCAAGGGCTGTCATGGAAGGGTTTGGAGCGGGTGATCTGACCATCTCAAAACTACTCAATAGAAGATGGGACTAGAAAAACCCAACAAAAAGAAGAAAGAGCAATAGAACACGTATCAAGCAACGGGAAGAATACGTCAAAGTGTATGTTTGTGCAATTCTTTTACATATGATATGCGCGTCCATTTTTTGTAATGCTCAAGGATGTAACTTTGCTATCCCTTTTGAGTAATAACATGGCGTCGGACGTAAGGATTTTGACAGGGAAAAGGTTTATATAGGGTTGCAACCTTAAAATGTAAAATTATGCTGCACCTCAAAAATCCATCGGTGTTTTGATGTTGAAAAACCTCTAATTGATCATCTCGACATTGAGATGTATGAATTTGGGAAAAATAATTTCGAGTCTCAAAAATAACGCATTTTACAAGACATTATATGGACCGTCCATTTTTAAGATTTTCATTTATTTATATATGTTCTTGATTTGAACAATTTTTTTAGTTTAAAATTTTATCATTAAAGATAAAAATGGATTATTGGGAAATCCTAAAAGTTTTTTACACGAAAATTACTTCTTATTATAGAGGTGCTCTTATTATAGAGGTGCTCCTTTGATTGTTTAAGGTTGCAACCTTATGTAACCCACACACCCTTTTGACAGTGTATTAAGTGTTTCATATGGTAAAGCCGCACCTCAAAATCCCGCCTGAAAAAGGTTCTCAATATCATAGAAGGAAGTTTCTACAGGACCTGGGCTTTAAATCTTCATCTAACAATTTCAGGATAAAAAAATCTCCATGATGGCTTTAAAATCAATTTTGAACGCTAACAATAAAATTTGAAACTAAGAAAATAGTAAAACACTTATTTTAGGGCGAAATGGATGGTAGAGAGGATTTGTTGCAATATACACTATTTTTAAAATTTGAAATCCAAATTTGTTTTCACAACTATAACGTTCAAGTTGATATATTTGAAATCCAAATTTGTTTTCCCAACTATAATGTTCAAATTGAGATGATCGATTTAAAGGTATTCCAGCAATTTAATTGCAATTTTAGATGAGTTATGAGGTGAAGTTTTACTTATTTTGATAGAGCTGCAGCCCTATCAACCCACTTTCCATCACAGGCCTGGTAAATCCAAGATCGTTCATCGTTGAATTAGCTCTGACGCAGAGAGAAAAACGACAGGGGGAGAGGGTTATCAGTTTGGTTTGCACCAGGCCGAAAACCAGTTGACTCTCTTGCAAAGTAGTTGTCCCACCCTGAGAGGAAATGCCTAGGTACCAATTACATATTCATGTAATTTGGATTTCACTTCCTTCTTCAGCTTTCAAGTAAAAGAGGAAATGCGTAGGTACCAATTACATATTCATGCAAATAACCAGTTAGGCAAATAAAATGTAAGTTAAATTTGGATTTCATTTCCTTCTTCAGCTTTCAAGTACCAAGTCAAATTTCAATTTAAACAACCAAAGTTCTTTGCTGCTTATGTGCCTATTACATATTCATGGATATCATCAGATGGGCAAACAAAATCTCTGTAATATAAAAAAAATAAAAAATTACAACTAATAAACAACCATCAATTTGTACAAGAAAGAATGATGATAGAAAGTTGCCAAAACTATAATATAAAAAAAGGACCACAACTCAACAGACATTAGAACTGTTGTGCTACCCTCTACTTCCTCCACACCGGAATCACATAAGAGTTGCCATATAGACTGATTGATTGAGTCTCCTTGAAACAAACTCGAGGTGCCCTGGAGGTATCAGAAAATCCACTTCACTGTAGAATCAAGTTAGAGCTAATCATTGTCATCTGCTCCATCTTGAGGCATTAGAATGGAGTCAGCATTGGGAATTTCGTAGCATTTGGAAAGATATGTACAGCATCAGAACCATTGAAATGTCATCTAATCCATTTTGTGGCACCGTGAAAGAGCTACCATAGAGGTTAGCCATTGCCAACCTTGCAGAGGATCCATTCGCAGGGCTATGGATAAAAGACGCATGTCTCATTCCTTCGCATACACAACAAACAAAGCCAAGACATGGGTTTTTAACCATCTTGATTGAATATGGAAACCAACAAGAACAAGGCCAATACATGGTCTTTTAACTATCTCGATCAAATATGAAAACAAAGAAAGACACAAAAAATTGTTGATTAATGTGTAGTTTTTTTTTCTTCCCTTTCCCCAATTTACTTGTTATCAAGTCCATGAGGTACTCCATTCCCTTTCAACGATTTACTTGTTCACTCCATTAACCAATAAGTCTTCTCCTCTCATAGAAGACTAGCTTATCTTTCTTAGCAATTGAATCATCATTGTGAATGATATCATGCAAGCGGGTGAACTTCCAATAGGCACATCCAACCTCCCCAATCTTGTGCTGCCTCTTTATTGGCATATGCTTCCTCTTTCTTGGCATAAAAGAGTATACAACATGTTTTTAGCAAAAAAAATCCCCCTTAGGATAATAGAAGTCGACATAGTTTAACATAATGTGCTACATGTATAAGATATTTTAGTAGTCAACAAAGAACAATTATGATGATCCTCCCCTTCTTTGATGGATTCGGGGGTAAGAACCCCTCCTCATCCATTTCTAGTTGAGGAAGAACAGCTGTAGATACAAGTAGTACGCTGCTTTTATTCTACTCTATCATATGGGAAACCGCAAGTAGCACACTGCTTTTATTCTACTCTATGTATGGGAATCCGAATAAATGCGGATAAAAATAGGGATATATATACAAACTTGATGAGGTTAGTTCTGATTTTAGATGCCACTGTTTATATTCTAATGTGTCATAGTACACAACACTAGCAGATTATGCAGATGCAAGCATGTATATTTGATTTTAAATCATACTTCAATTACCCAAATAGAAAACAACAAAATCAGCAGCAGATTCAAATGTTTTCCAAGGCAAAGGATTTGGTCTAACTTGGTAGAGAAAAATCCAAGTGCTAGCAAGAAATATTATGATATTTCATTTTCTGCTTGGAGTGGATTGTTTGTTGTACTCAGTAAAAAATTCTGGATATCTTTGAACGAACTAGTAAGATCCCAAGGATCGAATTGACATAAGCTCTCCTATTACCTTCCCAGGAGTGGGGCGATGCATGATCTTTTGATGAAGGTAGTAAGTGCAAAGTTTCTCATCTGTTGGACAAAATCTTAAACGAGTTGTATTTGTATCGTATTTGAAGAATAAAGATCAGCGGGACCAGAGAGAGTAGTCAAAAGACAAAACTTCATAAACACAAGGAAAAAAAAAGAAAAATAACACAAACACAAGAAATAAGAATTAGCAAACCCATAAACTCAGAATTAACAAAAGAAGGAATACTCCCAGTTTCATTAATGTATGTCCTCACTTGTAAGAACAAGTGAATAACCCATGTGTAGAAAGAAGAAAACTGAATCATATAACAAAATGGAATGAATAAAAGACTATGCATAGTTAAGAATCATTAACGGCTAGATGAACTAGAACGATCAAAAGAAAACCCAAAATAATAAAAGAAAACGATGCTGATTTTCTTTTAAGCATCTTAATAGATGACGAACTAAATTAAGCAGAAAAGTATTTTCCTTGTGAATGTTAAGATGAAGCAAAAAATAATAGGAAACCCATCTCTAAGAATGAATGAAACAAAGAATTAACATGAAAAGATTATATCACCAAAAAAATTAAAGAATAAAAGCATACCTGAATAGCAGAGCTCTCCCCAAAAGACTGCTAGGTATATCTGTTCTTTGTTTCATTAATTGGGTATTGAGTGTTATACAATTTTTACGCCATTTTGCAAAAATTAATATCAATACTTCAAGAGAGAATGTAAATATCACTTACAAGATTGAAAAAAAAAAAAACCAATTTTAGTTTGAATGGATAACATCCAAAAATACACCAGATAATCTGATCAAATAGATTTTAAAAAAATTAATAATAAAATTATCTTTTTTCTTTTCCCAAACACGCACTTCAAAATCTTGAAAAATGATTTTGCAAGACAAAAAGATGTTAGTGTTACCAACATTATAAAAACAAGCAACAAAAAAAGGAAAAAAAAAAACTGGTTCTTGCCCCTTTTCATGACGAAAATCCATTGCTCTAAATTTCTGTAAAAAATCAAATAAAAAGCAACAGTATGATTCATTAAAAATTTCAAATAAAAAGAACATTGAGAGAGAGAGAGAGAGAGGAGCCTTCAGAGTGATTGCGAGATAAACAACCGCGATCAAATCATTAGGCCCAGAGATGTTAGAGAGAGAAACAGAGAGGGAGAGGATCGAGCAAGCATTCAGATTGAAAACTATGTAAGCCCACCATATTCTTTCATTTGTCTTAGCAAATAGTCTGGTGAAAATTTTGTCCACAAGCTGCCTGCTACGAGACCCCCTCTCTCTCTCTGCCTTCTCTCTCTAAAATCCCCTTCTTCTGAAATCCCTAATTGTGCCATGAAAACGAAGGTAAAAGAGGATGAAGGGGTATCCACGGAATTAATAGAATTATTTAGCCCAAAATGACGGAAGTACCGTTCGCAACTTAAAAATTACTAAAGTGCATGTGAACTTTTAAGCAAGGACATAAGCTAATTTTATAAGGGTAAACCAAAAGATAGAAAGGCCAAAGGCCCCAAGCTAGAGGATTTTAAGCATTAAATTTGGCACAAATTTTAAAAAAATTTATTTTATGTTGTAAAATTTTAAATATTAAATTTAATATATGTTTTTAAAAAATTTATCTAAACATTAAATTTGATACAAATCTTTAAACAAAAATTATCAGATAATTATGAGATTTGATTTTTATAAAAAATTATGTCAAATTTAATAGTGATCTTTTAAAATCAAATTCTAATATCGTCTTCCCCATTCTATTGACAAGTAAAATGTGTAAGCGGTGATTATAAATCTTCTCTTTCACTCGACCAAGAGGTTACATTGTACTCCTCATCTCATTCTTCCCCACGCCATCAACAAACCCTATTAATTTCTCCTTACAATTTATAGAAACTGCAAATTATGTTTGATTTTACAATTTTTGTTCATTAAAATTCAAAATTTGCTTCATATGATTTAATGATTAATGAAAGATTTCAATCAAAAAACATAAAAATAATAATAATAATAATAATAACATAATGCTCATCAGACCCCATCATATCTTAAATAAATTAAATTATAGATGAACTTACATGGTAAGGCGTTGGAATACCAATATAATTCATTTACTCATAAAGCTGAATTATCTAAAATTAGCTTTTTGACGATACAAAATGCTAACACATGCTATGAACACAAATAAATATTAAATCATAAATGTAAATAATTTAAAATATATAGTTCATAAAATTCAAAATGAGAGACAAAAATGATATCCGATGGGTTTTGTAAATTATGATAACCTTTTTTATAAAAATTTGTAATTGGAATATATAAAATAAATCATTAAATATATTTTTTAAAATTGAAAATTAGGGAGGAAATACTACACAACAATTATAAATAAATTGAAATTTGTAATAAACAATTCAACAAAATACTTATTACTAAATTTTGAAAGTAGACAATTCAATTACATATAATTGTACAAACCATATATATAGCAACAACAATGAGGAAAATCCAAATTATAAGTGCACAAAAATTCATAAATAAATCTAGAAAAATAATAAATCCAAAATTAAGATGACATCTTTTATAATATTTAAAATTTATAATTGGAATATATAAAATAAATCCTTAAATCTTATTATTAAGATAACATCTTTTATAAAATAAATCCTTAAATATATATAGCAACAACAATGAGGAAAAGCCAAATTATAAGTGCTCAAAAATTCATAAATAAATCTAGAAAAATAATAAATCAAAAAGTATCACTTAATGTAACCATAAGAAATATAAAATGAAATTTACTATGGTAGGCTTTCTTTGAATTTGTGGGGCGGAAAATTAAAAAGAAATAAACAAAAAAAATTAAAGTATTCAAAACTAAAAACCCATTGACATAAAGGATATATTTTTATAAAGACAATCAAATAATGAGAAAAAAATGAAACGACAAAAAAATATTTGCATATCAATATATTCTCGTGTTACATATTTATCAATTTATTTTTGTGATGCTCATTTGATTTCTATGTGCTCTCCTATTGTTTATTTAGACAATTATTAACATCTTGCTTATCATATTCTTACGCATGAAATCTAACTAGTAAATACGAAGAAGGAACCGTAGCAATGGAGTGAGTTCAAAAAGTGTATATACCCAAAATCCCGCATCTCTCTTCATCTTTAACTCTCTCTCTCTCTCTCTACATGCTCTCCTTTATATCTCTCTCAAATAAAAAAAACTGACTTCAAATCTCTCTCTAAACCCTACTTTCTTTTCCTTCCCCTTAACCACCTCTCTGTGCTGAGTCCATTTGAGGAAGTTAAATTTTTTTTTTTATGAAAAGTTGGGTTAATCTCAAGAAAATTTATCAGTGATCCCATCTCTCATTCTCTCACCACACATGTGCTTATACAGTTGAAACTTAAAGATAAATTTATTATTTCTCATAAAAGCAAGTGAATTTAAGTTTATATATATGGGAGTGGTTTCATAATAATTTAATGAAACAGTCATCGAAAACCATGTAAGGGACAATTGTTTCACTCAAATTTAAAATATTCATTCTTTTCATTCTAATGAACAATCAAATATATATATTCATATATATATATATATATATATGAAAACACAACTTAGAAAGTATTTTTAGTCCAATTAACATAGGCTGTTCATTTTGGTAAGATACTTTGATTTAGGTCTTTGAAGGATTTTTTTTCTTTCCAAATTTTTTAGATAACTTTATTATCATTAGATTAACAACGTTAAAAAAGAACAAATTGATTTTGAATTCACAAAGGCTTAGATCTTGAAATTCACCAAATGGACGGTCTAGATTCATTGTTTGAGGGGGCTCATTTTGACCATATATACGGTACAAATTAACTTTTTTTTTAGATTGCTTATTGAGACGAAAAGAGTGTTGGAAATGTGGCCTTTCACGCTCTTTGTCCCGAGAATTTATTTTTTAATAATGTTACAAAAGCCATATTGTATAGTATATGTGAAATCCCATGTGGTTCACACGAAACAATGCAATATACTTGGATCCATTTTGAAGCTTTTATCGGATGTTGTACTAGAAGGAAAAACTAACGTCACTAGAGAGAAAACCCAGTGATGTGTTTAGATTTCTTGTAAGAATTGTTTTTTTATATTATAGATGTACAAAATTATTTAATTTCTAAATATCTTTTATCAAATTGTAAGAATGACTGGATGACATCCTATTATGTGAGTCACTTGTGTACTAATTACAGGTTTAACTCATTATATAGGATTAACAGTTTAGTGACAAGTTGTTAATCCTAATTGTCTGCACTTAGAGTGTACTAAGGGAATTAAGACAAGAGTTATCCTTGGGATCTCAACTCCTATAAACCATGAATGTAAGATGGTTCTCTATGAAATATTATTAATAATAATAATAATAATAATAATAATAATAAAGTTAAACCCTTCAAGTAAAAAAAGAAGAAGAAAGGATGATGGAAAATAGGTGAAAGAGATTCACCAAAGAGGTCTCTCAAAGTAGCCTATAACCCTTTGGCTTGGTCTATAGGTTTTGGTACGAAAACTTAAGTCTCTAGTGTGATTTAAGAATAGATCCAAAAAAATTATTTGTTTATTTATTTATTGATATTTTTTATTGGGACTAACGGAAAGCATGTGTACAAAATTTTGAATCATATATATACCACAAATATGGTTTAATAGAGTAAAAATATTCATATAGTCGAACCCAAATAATTACCATAAAATTTAGAGGAGGATGATATAAAAAGAACTTTATAAATTTAAAACAAGTTCGATTCAATTTAACACACAAATAAAACTTTATTTTGATGTGACAATGAAAGTTAATAGAGTTAAAATATTTACAGACGCTGGAAAAAAATATAGTAAGCAAGACGCTTCAAACACATCAAACTATCCACAAAAAAGGAGGTGGGATTCTATCCAAATTACAATAAAAGGCGATTGATAGAAGTGTATTTTTTCTTTATAAGTACACCTGTGTCAGTCTCTTTAAATGAAAAGGAAGCGGAGAAGATAGTAGAAGGAAATGGGGTTAGAAACAGAAACCTATTGAACTATCCAACAATGAAAACAGTGAAGATACAGAAGGAAATGGGTCTGAAACGAACTATTCAACAATGAAAACAGGGAAGATACAGCCTTTTTAGACGAGAAGAGTCACGTTCTATATCTTCAAAGAGGTACGCTCCTAATATATATATTTGTATAGACTCACCCACGCCCTAGACCAGGCAAATCGAGGTGCCCAACTCAGTGTATATATATATAGACTCGCCCATGCCTTAAGCGAGGCAAATCGAGGTGCCCAACTCACGAGGTACCCAAAAAAATATGTAAAAAAATATAAAGAATATTTAAAATTTTAAAAATATTTTTGATGGTTTTTAAAATGATATGCGAACTTTTTTTTATCACACGATTCAATTTTTTATTTTCTTTTTTTATTTTTTTAAATATTTATGGTATAAATCAAAATTTCAAAATTTCCAACATCAATGTATCATATTTATTTAATTTTTTTATTTTTTTGCTGTTTTAAACAATTTTTTATCTTTAACTCGCTTGAGTAACTTGCCACGACCACAGGCGAGTTTTTGGCTCGATGCAATCATAAAAACATTGCTTAGAAGAGATAAATATATGCCAAAACCTTTTATTAAAAACATAAGGAGGAATAACTCTTTTATGAATATTTATTCAAACATTGTAATTTGAGAAATATTTTTAAAGTGAAATAAGAATTGTATTTC